CAAGTACAGAGACAAGTCCATTGTCAGAAGCAATCAGAAGGTCATTATTAACTTTAACCAGAGCTGTCTCTGTGCTATGATAAACTCTAAATCCTGACTGAAAATCCTCAAATAAACTATTGTTATGTAGAAAGTCACACAACTCTTTGGCGACTACTTTCTCCAGAATCTTAGAGAGGAAGGGGAGGTTAGAGATTGGTCTATAGTTGGCTAAAACCCCTGGGTCAAGAGTGGGCTTTTTAAGAAGGGGTTTAATTACAGCTATTTTAAAGGACTGTGGTACATATCCTGATAATAAAGAAAGATTAATCATATCCAGTAAAGAAGTGCCAATTAAGGGAACAACTTCTTTAAGCAGCCTAGTTGGGATCGGGTCTAATAGACAGGTTGATGGCTTCGATGAAGAAATTATTGAAGTTAACTGATGAAGATCAATAGCAGAGAAACAGTCCAAACATACCTGTAAGTTTACATTTGTTAAAGTTCCTGAACTTGGAGAGCCACTGATAACTGTTGATGGCAGTTGGTGATTAATTTTCTCTCTAATAGTAATAATTTTATTATAAAAGAAGCTCATGAAGTCATTGCTACTTAAGTTTATGGGCATATGTGGCTCAATAGAGCTGTGACTCTCTGTCAGCCTGGCTACAGTGCTGAAGAGGAACCTAGGGTTACTCTTATTTTCTGCTGAATAATAGGCTCCTCTGGCATTATGGATGGCCTTTCTATAGGTTTTAAGGCTATCTTGCCAAATCGAGCGATATTCTAAAAAAGAGCGCCATTTCCTTTCAGATTTTTGCTTTAACGGGCGGGTTTGGTGGTTGTACCACGGTGCTAGTCTCCTATGTTTTAATATTTTCCTCTTTATAGGGGCAATAGAATCTAATGTTGATCCTAGTGAGTCTGCAGCACTATTAACATGATTATCAATTTGGGAGGGACTAAAGTTATTATTGGACTCAGTTATATTCAGGCATGGCATTGAATTAAACATTGATGGAATCTCCTCCTTAAATTTAGCTACAGCACTGTCAGATAGACATCTGCTGTAGGAAGTTTTGCCTAATGGCAGGATTGGATGGACATTCTTCGGATCGACCTTTTCTGTACTGACATGACTTTCCCTGTCAGAGCTGCAGTGGTTGTTCTTGCTCTCATCCTCTTCGCTGTCATTGGCTTCACGCTACAAAAAGAGGAAATTTAACAAAGAGGAACATTTTTATGATTTTCTTCTTAATTTACTTTTTTAGTACTTTGATTTGTTTTTGAGTTCATGATTTTATCTGGGCTGAAAATTTTAAACAAGCATCCGTTCCTTGTACCCCACAATCTGAATACAACCAACAGTAAACAGTGTCAGGCTCAGAGCCTGTGAGTCAAGATAATATGCCTATACCATGATGATGTGGGAGAGATGTAATAAAAGAAGGGTAGATTTATTTTACAGTTTGAGTGAGTAGAAGAGGAGATCATATTCACTGGGGTTAAGGTGATAAAAGATATTCTGACATTTACTGAAATTATTTTTCTTTTGTTTTTATTTCAGCCAAATGCCCTCCATCTTGTAAGTAAATGTTTCTTTTATTCTATTCTGACTGATCTGACACACACTCTCTGCTGTAGGTTCTGCAACTGAATCCTGAGACCTGACTAATAAACACACTCAATGAGTTTCTCACATTATAGTTTGACAGAACTAAAAGAGACTAAATGATGGTTTCCTGCAACAAAAGTGTAGTAGTTATGATTTTTGTGCTTGATGTGTAAAATTCTATATAAAATTTTATTTCAGTGATGTTTTCTATAATTAGTTTTTAGAAACATCTTAAACTTTCTCCGCACTGTCACCTGCAGAAGTTCTCTGATGACTCTGCAGAAGTTCTCTGATGACTCTGCCATCATAGGCCTCATCACTGATGAAGACGACAGGGAATACAGAGAACTGATAAAGGACTTTGTGGACTGGTGTCAGTGGAACCGCCTCCAAATCAACACAGGGAAAACCAAGGAGATGGTGGTGGATTTCCGCAGGTGCAGTCACGCCCCCCTGACACCGGTTCACCTGAACAATAAACTGGACTGGACTCATAACACGCAGGCACTTTATAAGAAAGACCAGAGCAGACTCTATCTGCTCTGGAAACTCAGGTCCTTTGGAGTACAGGGAGAGCTCCTGAGGTCCTTCTTTGATACTGTTGTGGCATCAGCCATTTTCTTTGGAGTGGTCTGCTGGAGCAGCAGCATCTCAGCAGCCAACAGGAAGAGACTCGACAAACTGATTAAGAAGGCCAGCTCTGTCCTGGGTTGCCCCCTCGACTCAGTGCAGGTGGTGGGAGAGAGGAGGATAATAGCAAAGCTATCATCACTGATGGACAATGTCTCCCACCCCATGCAGGACACCATCAGTATGCTGAGCAGCTCCTTCAGCGACAGACTCGTTCACCCCAAATGTGTGAAGGAGAGATATTGTAGGTCCTTCCTTCCTGCTGCTGCCCCCATCTCGGCATCAATAGTAATAATAATGTGCAATAATTACTGTGCAATCTATTGCCCATGTGCAACTGCTGCTACTATTTTGTGTTATTTGTGTTATCTGTTGTTGTTTTTCTCTTGTACATAGAGTTTTTATTATTTCCCTACTCTTACTGTTTATTTATAGTTTTGTTCTCTATCCACCCTGCTGCTGTTACATTGGAATTTCCCCATTGTGGGACAAATAAAGGAATATTTATCTATCTATCTATGAACAAACGGTTTTAGAATAACTACATACTGAATATAAGACTCAAAATCACCTCTTGTGATGGATTATTGAAGCCATGTTCTTTTGTTTGGCTCGAGGGACATAATTCATAGAAAGTTCCTCATACCACAGGGCTTGCTAACTAAGGTGGAACCTGACAGACAGTGATGGTGGTTGGATTACTGTGCGGGCTATCACATTCCCATGCCTCATCAGTTGGGCCAGCCAATGTAGTTGAGCCTGAGCAGATACAATATAAATATATTCGGCCACAGTATCTGCTGGCTGCCTGGGTGAGTGAAGCATTTTAAAGCAGCTTAAAGTTACGTTACGTCAGTTAGAGATAATGTGGGCTCTCAGAGGGGTCCATAGATTTATAACGGCACAGCTTGATACCCACTGCAGGGGCTAATGATAGGTGAAAACATTATTTAGCAGGAATACTGGCCTTCCATAGGAATATTCACCTAACTTCTGGCAAATGAATGTTAAAAACAAATGTAATGCTCTTTATTTTTCTGTTGATGTTTCACTTCACAATAAAATCCAGAATTTCATGTTTAAAAGTTTGGTTCTTTTTGTCCACATCTGTGACTGTAGTTGCAGTAACATGAATATTAGCTCAGCATCCTGTATACTCACAGAGGACAAAGTTTGCTCCCAGACAAGGTTAGCTTAGCTTAGCATGAATTCTAGGGAGGAAACAGCGAGCCAATAGCTGTGTAAAGAGTGCATTCTAACAACCTCAAAGCTGGCTGTCATGTAAGAATGAAACATTTGGCTTAAAAAGGAGCTCCACAATGATTTGCACTAATAATCACATAATACAGATGATTTTTCAACAGTACAGTGTGTGAAAAACAGCTTTTCCATCAGTTAAGTTGAATTCTGTGATGAATTAGCCTGCCTTCTTCGGATGTGATGTCAAAGTGATGATGATTTTTTCTGAAGCTACAGTATGTTCAGCTCTCTGGCCTCCCATACAAATGGATCTAAGTGGACTCTCATTACAGATTTGGTCTTGGAATCGAAAATACTAAATTGGTGGCACTTTGTGCGACTGCCATTGTTGGTGTTTTCTCTCTGTTTGGATTTGTTGGGGTCAGCAGCATTTTAGTTAGTTAGTCTGGTTTAGTGTGTGTTTACTACAACAAAAGAGAGGAGGGTAGAATACTCAACAATTATGTCAAAGAGCTCAGATTCATCTGTGCAAAGTAGACCTGACTGAAGAGAAGTGTCAACAATGTAAGGCCAATACAGACTATACTGTGGTCAGACTGTGGTTGTACTGAGCAGCTTCCAGGTATGATTGTGTAACTGTGTAATGTGATCAGGGTGTTCCTCTTAAAAGAGAGCATTGCTCCTAAAGAGGAAGAAAAAAAGATGAAGAATGATGAACAAAAACAGATTATTTGATAAGAATTCTGTCCCTCCCCCTTATACCTGCTGTTGCTTCATATCTGATGTGTCAAATTCTGTTTCTCACACTGTGTTTTGGACTTTACCTGGCAGACGAGTGCAGACAAGTAATAACAGATACAGCAACAACAGGTAACTGACATTTAAACACACATAACCTTTCAAAAATATTCTGGTTTCATACATAGTAGAGTTATAAAAGTAATAATAATAAAGTTAAATTCTTATTATTATTAGTAGTAAAGTTTTAGTTCACCTATGAGGAATCATTAACTGGTGAACACGCCTCATATTCCAGAGAACAAACACTCATGTCAGTGAACCAGGAAACAAACTTTCTCAAACAAAGACAAAGTTATTTTTGTTGCTCCTCTTGTGTCATTTTTTTTATCTCCAGGTAAGACAACATTTTACAGCTTTCCTTTATGTCCTTTCTGTTACAGCAGTTTCATTTGGCCCATGAGCTCCTGTGTAGAGCAGAATTAGTGTGTGAAATCACAGTACCTTCAAAAGAGCATTCATCTTACATAGACTACTGACAGCCTTTAACTTAACCTCAGTGAACACAATCCAAGTACAATATGTTTTAAATCATAGTAATAAAATGATGTTAAAATAAAACTATATGTCAGTTTCTGAAGAAATTGTTGGCATGATGTGGTCCGGAGCATCGAACTACACACAACAAAATTGGATCATTCTTAATTCACACAGTTTATTCTCACAGCTTTTACTCTGCAGTGTATGTATGGGGCTCTAAACATAACATAATGGGCACAGACACACTGACAGAGACATTGGTACCTGTTTGACAGGTGATACAGCTGTGCAGTACTTCCTGAGTACCTGAGGTCACATACTGACGCTGTGGAAGAAGGAGGCAGTCCTCCTGTCTACACATCTCTCTCTCACCTCCTCGCTGCTCTGTCCTTTACCCACCCGACTTTATCAAATCAAGATGAAAACGTTATTTTTGTTGCTTCTCTTCTGTCACGTTTCATCAGCAGGTAAGATCACATTTGAACTCTTTAAGCTCTTTGCTTCACTTTCCACTCGGCTCTGCATTTGACTGCGATAACGTGAGCCACAGAGTGCATTTGGCTCCTGTAGCTCCAGAAAACAGCACTTTAGTTTCACTTTTACTTAAACTTTATAAGACTGACTTTATATGTTTTAATAGAATCATAGGCTGCTGACTGAATACATCAGATTCATGATGGGTCTTTACTGAATGTATAAACTTTGTTTGTCCTGCAGTGAAACACTCAGTGACGATTTTTCTAACTGGATCCAGTGGAGTCCCAAACTTATCAGAGTTTGTGTCAGCTCTAGAGTTTGATGGAAGTCCGGCCATTTACTGCGACAGCAACAAAAAGATTTTAGAACCAAAACAGGACTGGATGAAAAAAGTATTACGATATGATCATCAGTCCTTTGAGTGGGCCACTCAGGAGTGTTTTCAAAAAGGGCCAAACATATACAAAGTCAGGATTCAGAATTTGAAGCAGCGCCTCAACCAAAGTGGAGGTAAAGTATTTACGTATATTATATTTAATGAATTTGAGCTTGGACTGCATCTGAGACTGCAGGTGTCACACAGGTGTGACTTTGTTTTAATAAGAGTTTAATGTGCATATAATTCAACATACCCACTTTGTATACTGCCACTGACAGTCATCTGTCAATTCATACAACAGTAGCTACTATTGTAACTTTTAGCTGTGGAAAATAAATTGGGGTTCATCACTCAGATAAAGTGCACTGATTATCTGCTCTTGAATCATGAGCACACCACAAGACACAAGTGTCACACAATGCACAATATTTATAAGATCATCTTTCCACTGGAGATTTCATCTGTATTCTGCACATTGTTAATTACAGTCTCTGTTTCTGTCTCTGTCTCTCTCTCAGGTGTCCACATTTTACAGGAGATGTTAGGATGTGAGTGGGATGATGAGACTGGAGAGGTTAATGGTTTTAATCAGTTTGGTTATAATGGAGAAGACTTCATATCTCTTGACCTGAAGACATTGACATGGATCGCTCTGAAACCTCAGGCTGTCACCACCAAACTGAGATGGGATGCTGAGAAAGCTAGAATAGAAGATGTTAAGAAAACAATCACTGAGATTTTCCCTGGCTTCCTGAAGAAGTATGTGGACTATGACATCAGCTCTCTGCTGAGAAAAGGTAAAATCACATGACCTGATTTAGTTTGATGAACACAACAATGTTCCTATAATCTGCTCAGACTGAACTGCCATTGTATTATTACTCCAATCAGTTTCACGTTATCTTATTTTTGGCTGTTGAAGATATTATTTGATTTAGCCCTGACCAATCAGTAGAGACTGACAGTTGTAGGTGTTCTACATTACTTTCCATCAAAGCTGATACTGTGATAGCCAGACAGTGCACCACTAGCATGAGGTAAGTAAGTTTACACAGATTGTATGGATGGGTATCATTAAGGTTTTAACAGTACTACTATTATCAATACTGCTTATTGATCCATTACTTTACTGGTACTCTGATCAGTTCTTTTATTTTTCATTATATATATAAATAGATGGATAGAATTTTGATTTTGTCCAAATTTAACATCAGACAATTTCAGGTCATCCAGGTTTTTATGTCCTTAAGACCTTTGATCATATCTGGTAAAGAAGTGCCAACTAAGGGTAAAACTTATTTTTAAACATGTCATCACATTTCATCATTGGTTTAGTTAACTCTGTGTGTGCTCTAAGCTGCTAGCATATGCTGTCTTTTACCACCACTAATCAGAAGGTTTTTGGTTCGATCCCCAGCTCCTCCCGCCACATGTCAAAGTATCCTTGAACAAGATACTGAACCCCGAATTGCTCCCGATGTTTACCTTTACCATCACTGAGTGAATGTGTGTGAAAGGGTGAATGTGGCACATAGTGTTAAAGCCCTTTGAGTGGTCGGAAGACTAGAAAGGCGCTGTACAAATACAGGACCATCCACTCATAAAGCAGACAGATACAGTGTGTCTTTCATTGCTTATCTCTGTCCCATTTTCTCTTTCACTCATCTTGATTCCACCCTCTTGAATTTCTTCATCCATCTATTCCTTTGTTTTATTTCCTTCCCTGTTCTCTCTTTTTTGTCTTTCTCTATCCCTTTCACGTTTTTTCACCTTCTCAATCCCTCTTTCTCTCTTTTTCTCTTTCTTCTCCAGACCGTCCCTCAGTGTCTCTCCTCCAGAAGACTTCCTCCTCTCCAGTCAGCTGCCACGCTACAGGTTTCTACCCTGACAGTGCCACACTCATCTGGAGGAAAGATGGAGAGGAGATTCATGAGGACGTGGACCACGGAGAGATCCTCCTCAACCACGATGGATCCTTCCAGATGAGTGTTGACCTGAACCTTTCATCAGTCACACCTGAAGACTGGAGGAGGTACGACTGTGTGTTTCAGCTCTCTGGTGTGAAGAACGACATCGTCACCAAACTGGACAAAGCAAAGATCAGGACCAACTGGGGCAAAACTGGGTACGAAATTGACAAAGGTGAGAAACACAGATTAAAAAAAAATTATTTATGCTTACTTTTCTCATTGTTTGTTTTTAACTTTTGTCATCCGTTCCTACTGTGTGAATAATCAGTCTTATTAATTATTTAGTGGCTGACATATTCTGACTTTTAGTTCCCAGAACACTGGATCCTACATTTCCCATAATGTAACCCAGTAGTGCCTTTACTGTCTAGTACAGTGATACCATATCTGCCCTGTGATAGGGTGCCAGGTCGCCCACCGACCCTTTTCTGATTCACAGTGAAAATAAATTGATGCACAGTGGAGATTCTTTTGTTTACCAATTAGTAAATGTTCAATAATGTCACTTTACTGTTACCTGGGAAGTTGCATACAATGCACAGAGTGGCAGGTTCCTTTAATGCTGTCAACTTAATAACATATACTGTATCTTCTTTGCTAAACTGAAGTAAGCTGTGTCCTTTAAATGCTGTATATTTCTGCTCACACACACCAGTGACTACTGTATTATACTCTATTCACAATGTGAATGTGTGATGAACAGATGTATAGATCTTTTCTAACCTGCTTCATCTTCACATGTTGTGATCATTTTTGTTTATTTGTGTTGTTTTCTGCTGAGCAGAGGAGCCCAGTAACATCACCATCCTGATTACTGCTACAGTGGTTGTTCTTGCTGTCGTCCTCATTGCTGCGATTGGATTTATCGTTTACAAAAAGAAGAAAGGTGAGAGACTAGAATGAGCCGAGTTGAAACCTTTAATAACATATGAATCTAAAGAGTTTCACTTTATATGAAAGAATTACATTCAGAAGGGAAAATGAGACAAAAGGTATTCTGGCATTTTAAACTCTTCTGATCTTTTCTTCTTATTTCAGCCAATCGCCCTCCACGTCGTAAGTAGAACTTATTTTTATTCTATTGTCTCTGACACGTTCTTTACATTTTGAGCTGAGGTAGTTCAGTGCAGGAGAAGAGGACTAACAGTGTGTTTCTGACCTTGCAGCTCCTGAAAACAGCTCTGAGCTCTCTGAGAAACTGAATCCAGAAACATCATGAGCAAACACACCACCCTGCACACAGTGACGTCATGTAGGACAACAAAACAGTGAACCTAACACCTCCAGTTAAAGCAGTTTAATATTGTTTTGTCGTTCACTGTAAAACCTCTGAATCACTTTATAGCTGCAAAGAAAATATCTGACAAAGAGCTGGTTTCCTATGACCAACGGTAGATAAAGATAAGTTAAATTATAAAGAGGAAAACAAGCTAAATAAGGCATTGATGCTCACATCAGAAAATAAAGTCAAGAAATAATCCTTTAAAAGCAGCCATCTGTTAAAATGTTGTAAGATTGTGAATATTTTAGATCTCATTGAAATCAGAATACTCAGGTACTGATACAATGTTATAACCTTAGTTGAACTGAACTTTCCAAATATTTCTGATGAAGTTAATTCTGTTTTATGTGATTATTCTCTCTGTCTCTTCAGGTTTGTGGTTCAAAAAATGACCTCTCATGATATCAAACCATGCAGGTAGATGTGTTTGCATTTGCATTTGTGATATCAGAATTTGGCTTACACTCAAATACGATTAGGGGTGTTCAAATATTGAATACATTTTAAACTAATTTTCATCTTTCCAGAGACAAAGTCCTGTTTGCTCAGAATAATCCATTCATTCATAACTCCTTCTTCTAAATATAAAAACGATCAAAACTTATAAATATTCTGCTTGTATATTATTTTCATCTGTAATTAAAGCTTTTGTTGAAATCTTTAAAGTATGTTAAACCTTGTGTTTGAGACTATTTCCATTTATATGTGACATTCACTTTGTACGTAGTGTGAAACATGTTGACGGTGGCTGTTTTCTTAGAACTTTATGATCAGTTATGCACAGCGAGTTTTCTTTAGTCCAAGGTTGATGTGAGCACACATGTCCTGATGCCAGTTTATAGGACTGACAGCTGAGAAGAGTAATATCACTGTACAGTTTGTGGTGTAGGATGACTTCAGCTCAGCATTCAACAACACATTCTCCCTCGGTCAACTCAGCACTCTGGACACTGCAGCGGGTGATTAAAACCACCCAGAAGATCATTGGTACTCAGCTGCCCAGCATCAGTGATACTGCTGAGGTGAGATGCCTGCACAGAGCCTTAAAGGATACTAAAAGACAGCACCCACCCCAGACACACCCTGCTGCCATCTGGGAAGAGGTACAGAAGCTTCTGCTGCCGGACCACCAGACTGCAGAGCAGCTTCTTCCCTCAGGCAGTGAGGCTGTTGAATTCTTCCACAATTACTCATCATACAAATATATAATCACTTTTATTTTTAACAAAAAAAAAAAGAAGCTCTTGCTCCAATACATATCACTCGTTCTTAGTGAAGTCAGAACTAGTGAGAGGTGGATGAAGCCGTCTGGAGCTTTGGGGCTTCAAATGCAGCAGCACAGTGACATCTGGTGGCAACAGCAGCCCTTCACGACTGGAGCCAAAGCACCACAACACCTCTCTGATTTTAGTCTCATAGGTGTGCAATAAAAGTCCAAGAAGCCTGTGTGTTATCATTACATCTGTAATACTGTTGTTCAAGTGCTGCATTAAATGTAACAGTTTGTGTGATATGTTACAGTAAAATAATTTATAAATACATTGTCCAAAAAGCCTAGATAATAAATATTGTTACTGACATCAAATATGAATGTCCTTGACTAATGTACTTTAGGTCCCAATATGAGAAACTCATATAAGGAAATTTGCCCTTAATTATCTAAACAAACAAACAAACAAACAAACAGTAAAATAAGTCCATATTGTACATATAGTTTGGGACTTGACAGAAAACACGTGTATGTTTCTTTTAGGCCTCGCCTACCGTAATAAACAGTCTGACAGCGGCTCCCTTTACCACGGTTCAGCACTCTGTGGCTCACATTACAGTAGAAACCACAGCGGACCCAGCTCGCTCTTTACCCACAAGTCTTAACCAAAAACACAATGAAAAACGTCTTTTTGTTGATTCTCTTGTGTCACGTTTCATCAGCATCTTAGTTGTAAAATAAATAGACCGCCATCACATTGCTTTGAAAACCTGGAACCACTAGCTGCCAGTCAGCATGTAATCCATAACTCAGGTCCTGGTTAGACTTGTTTGCTCTGTCCAACACAAACTACTCATCATACTGAGAAATTCAAAACATCCATCTATAGTCAAAATATCCTCACAATTACAAACACACAGGAAAAGTACAGCCTCCATTTTCTTCATTGATTTCTTTAAATAATTTGATTGAAGGGGCTTAACATCCATCTGTACAGGTTTCAGTCCAAGAATCACACCTTCACACTCGAGTTTTGTGTTGTAATAATAACATACTAACTACGTAAGATTCTTATATAGTATCTGGAACATTTGGAACTAACTTTATCCACCTCTCTAGACTAATGAAAGTCTTCATCACACACAAAATATAACTTTCATAGCACAAAATCTAAATTATAATAATAAAAACTAAATCTTTACACTGAATTAGAAAATGCAAAGTTTTTATAATGGTTGTTAAACATTAGCAGGTCAGGTGTTTCTCATCAAGCACTAAAGTTTTGCAGTCAGTAGAACCGCAACCGTCATACCTGGCTCTAAAAGGCCTTTTACTACTAGATGACACAACAAGGGTTGCAATAAGCCCGGAGCTTTCAGGCTCCCTGAAGTTTGGCAGCTTCCCACCTTTCCCAGTTAGTAATAGAAGTTACACAATAACTATGTTTCAATGAGTTCCTGGTCAGACTTATGTGGTCACTCAACTGCATCCAATGCTGCACGTGTTTTAGCAGGTGACATTTTATTTTAATTGTATGCCTTTGTTAGTAAGCAGCAGTTAAGGGAATAAGGAAAATGAGGGGGAGACAGACACAACAAAAGTCTTCAGCTGGCCCGACCAGGGATGTTGTAGTTCATGGTCGACAAAAGAAAAGAATGTGTAACAGAATTTGGGTTTCATCACTCATATAAAGAAAAAGTACACTTATCTGCTCTTGAATCATGAACACACCACGAGATGAAGATGAAAATAGAAGTGCATCACACACTGCCCAATATCTGTGAGATCATCTTCATCTGTACATCGTTGTTAATTACAGTCTCTGTCTCTGTCTCTCTCTCAGGTGCCCATGTTTTACAGAGGATGACTGGCTGTGAGTGGGATGATGAGACTGGAGAGGTTAATGGTTTTAATCAGTATGGTTATGATGGAGAAGACTTCATATCTTTTGACCTGAAGACATTGACGTGGATCGCTCCGAAACCTCAGGCTGTCACCACCAAACTGAGATGGGATAATGGGATCTAACCGATCAAAAAGGTAGAATCACATGACCTGATTTAGTTTTATGAACTCAACAATGTTCCTATAATCTGCTCAGACTGAACTGCCATTGTATTATTATTATTACTCCAATCAGTGTGACATTACCTTATGGCAGTTTCCTGTGCAGTAAGATTTGATTTAGTCCTAACCAGTCAGTAGAGACATTTTTGGGTGCTCTGAGGTTACTTTCAATCAAAGCTGATACTGTGACAGTCAGTGTTTTAGTATAACTTAAATCAGTTTACAGAGTTTCAGTGTTTCAAAATAGAAATAGTTCCACTGAATATTGACGCTGTGTTTGAGTACTTTGCTGTGAACCACAAAGGCAGATCCTTCTTCTCTGACTGGAGTGAGTTTCTTCAGTGGTTCTCTCATTTGTCTATATAGAGACAATGTGGTGGTTGTTATGAGGGGCTGTCATCTCTCTCTCTCTCTCTCTCTCTCTCTCTCTCTCTCTCTCTCTCTCTCTCTCTCTCTCTCTCTCTCTCTCTCTGCAGACCTTCCCTCAGTGTCTCTCCTCCAGAAGACTTCCTCCTCTCCAGTCAGCTGCCACGCTACAGGTTTCTACCCTAACAGTGCCACACTCATCTGGAGGAAAGATGGAGAGGAGCTTCATGAGGACGTGGACCACGGAGAGATCCTCCTCAACCACGATGGATCCTTCCAGATGAGTGTTGACCTGAACCTTTCATCAGTCACACCTGAAGACTGGAGGAGGTACGACTGTGTGTTTCAGCTCTCTGGTGTGAAGACCTACATCGTCACCAAACTGGACAAAGCAAAGATCAGGACCAACTTCGGCAAAACTGGGTACGAAATTGACAAAGGTGAGGAACACAGATTTAAAAAAAATTATTTATACTTAATTTTCTTATTGTTTGTTTTTAACTTTTGTCATCCGTTCCAACTGTGGGAATAATGATAGTCTTATTAATTATTTTAAGACAAAGATCAGCGACACATTTATCTTTATTCCTTTATTTATAAAATCATATTTTTAACATTTATATATTAAAGTCACAGAAAGTTTAAACTTATCTTAAAGGAACATTCCAGCAACTTTGTTCTGCACTTTCTTAAGGCTGGCTGTCTTGCAAGAGACATAGCACCAGTGGCTGACATATTCTGACTTTTAGTCCCCAGAACACTGGATCCTACATTTCCCATAATGTAACCCAGTAGTGCCTTTACTGTCTAGTACATTGATACCATATCTGCCCTGTGATAGGGTGCCAGGTTGCCCGCCGACCCTTTTCTGATTCACAGTGAAAATAAATTGATGCACAGTGGAGATTATTTTATTAACCAATTACTAAATGTCACTTTACTGTTACCTGGGAAGTTGCATACAATGCACAGAGTGGCAGGTTTCTTTAATGCTGCCAAGATAATAACATATACTGTATCTTCTTTGCTAAACTGAAGTAAGCTGTGTCCTTTAAATGCTGTATATTGCTGCTCACACACACCAGTGACTACTGTATTATACTCTATTCACAATGTGAATGTGTGATGAACAGATGGATAGATCTTTTAACCTGCTTCATCTTCACATGTTATGATCATTTTTGTTTATTTGTGTTGTTTTTTGCTGAGCAGAGGAGCCCAGTAACATCACCATCCTGATTACTGCTACAGTGGTTGTTCTTGCTGTCGTCCTCATTGCTGTGATTGGATTTATCGTTTACAAAAAGAAGAAAGGTGAGAGACTAGAATGAGCCGAGTTGAAACCTTTAATAACATATGAATCTAAAGAGTTTCACTTTATATGAAAGAATTACATTCAGAAGGGAAAATGAGACAAAAGGTATTCTGGCATTTTAAACTCTTCTGATCTTTTCTTCTTATTTCAGCCAATCGCCCTCCACGTCGTAAGTAGAACTTGTTTTTATTCTATTGTCTCTGACACATTCTTTACATTTTGAGCTGAGGTAGTTCAGTGCAGGAGAAGAGGACTAACAGTGTGTTTCTGACCTTGCAGCTCCTGAAAACAGCTCTGAGCTCTCTGAGAAACTGAATCCAGAAACATCACGAGCAAACACACCACCCTGCACACAGTGACGTCATGTGGGACAACAAAACAGTGAACCTAACACCTCCAGTTAAAGCAGTTTAATATTGTTTTGTCGTTCACTGTAAAACCTCTGAATCACTTTATAGCTGCAAAGAAAATATCTGACAAAGAGCTGGTTTCCTATGACCAACGGTAGATAAAGATAAGTGAGATTATAAAGAGGAAAACAAGCTAAATAGGGCATTGATGCTCACATCAGAAAATAAAAGGAAGAAATATTCCTTTAAAATCAGCCCTCTGTTAAAATGTTGTAAGATTGTGAATATTTTAGATCTCATTGAAATCAGAAACCTCAGGTACTGATACAATGTTATAACCTTCGTTGAATTGAACTTTCCAAATATTTCTGATGAAGTTAATTCTGTTTTATGTGATTATTCTCTCCGTCTCTTCAGGTTTGTGGTTCATACACTCACTTTGTACGTAGTGTGAAACATGTTGACTGTGGCTGTTTTCTTGGAACTTTATTATCAGTTATGCACAGCGAGTTTTCTTTAGTCCAAGGTTGATGTGAGCACACACGTCCTGATGCCAGTTTATAGGACTGACAGCTGAGAAGAGTGATATCACTGTACAGTTTGTGGTGTAGGATGACTTCAGCTCAGCATTCAACAACACATTCTCCCTCGGTCAACTCAGCACTCTGGACACTGCAGCGGGTGATTAAAACCACCCAGAAGATCATTGGTACTCAGCTGCCCAGCATCAGTGATACTGCTGAGGTGAGATGCCTGCACAGAGTCCAAAGGATACTAAAAGACAGCACCCACCCCAGACACACCCTGCTGCCATCTGGGAAGAGGTACAGAAGCTTCTGCTGCCGGACCACCAGACTGCAGAGCAGCTTCTTCCCTCAGGCAGTGAGGCTGTTGAATTCTTCCACAACAATTCTTCATGAAGATTAGTCCTTTTTATTTATGAAACATTTTATCACTCACTAACTTTTGTTGTCATTGCTGTTGTTGTTGTTGTTGTTGTTGTTGTTGTTGTTGTTGTTGTTGTTGTTGTTGGAAGTAGCACAAAGGGGACGATGGTTGAAGGGGAAACTAGCTTGTTGAGGGAGGTGGTGTCTTTGAGAGTGATAAAAAGAGAGGCTGTATTTTCACCAGTTTGTCACAAATAGATTGTTTTAAGATCATTAGTAATGGATGCTCTTGCTCCAATACATATCACTCGTTCTTAGTGAAGTCAGAACTAATGAGAGGTGGATGAAGCTGTCTGGAGCTTTGGGGCTTCAAATGCAGCAGCACAGTGACATCTGGTGGCAACAGCAGCCCTTCACGACTGGAGCCAAAGCACCACAACACCTCTCTGATTTTAATGCTTTTAGTCTCATAGGTGTGCAATAAAAGTCCAAGAAGCCTGTGTGTTATCATTACATTTGTAATACTGTTGTTCAAGTGCTGCATTAAAAAATTAATAATTTGTGTGATATGTTACAGTAAAATAATTCATAAATACTTTGTCCAAAAAGCCTAGATAATAAATATTGTTACTGACATCAAATATGAATGTGCTTTACTAATGTAGTTTACTAATTTTTTTTTAAGTTTACTGATGTAGTTTAAGTCCCAATATGAGGAATTCATGATGATTAGTAAAACAAAAATTTCCCTTAATTATCTAAACAAACCAACAAACAAACAAACAAACAAAAACAGTACAGTAAAATAAGCTCAAATTGTACATATGGTTTGCGACATGACAGAAAACGCGTATATGCATCTTTTTGGCCTCACTTACCGTAATAAACCTTTAGGCGCAACGACATTCTGACAGCGGCTCCCTTTACCACGGTTCCGCACTCTACGGCTCACATTACAGTATGTAAGTAAGTAAGTAAGTAAAGCTATATTTATATAGCACCTTTTTGAAACAGAGATCCAAAGTGCTTTACAAACAAGACATATACATAAGGGTATAACCATAACCAATCAAACAAGCATAGGGAGCATGTAAATACAAACAAAGGAAGACAAGACAAGAGAGAAGTGTAACTGGGGGAAAGGTCATGAAGTGCCTTATATGTAATAAGTAAGATCTTATTGTTGATTCTAAATTCTACCGGAAGCCAATGAAGGAATGTGAGACCAGGAGTAATGTGGGACCGACGGCTGGTTCTGGTTAAAAGTGTGGCGGCTGCATTTTGGACTAACTGTAAACGATTTAACGAAGCTTGACTGAGGCACGTTTAGAGAGGAGTTACAGTTATCTAGACGGGAGGAAATGAACAGTAGAAACCACAGCGACCCAGCTTCCTCTTTACCCACAAGTCTTAACCAAAAACACAATGAAACACGTCTTTTTGTTGATTCTCTTGTGTCACGTTTCATCAGCAGGTAAGATCACATTTAACATATTTATTTTATTGCATTTTGCTAAAGACAAACAAGAATTTAGTTTCACTTTCACTTCAACTTGATAAGACTGTATGTTGGGAATGTGAATCATTCTGAATAGCATACATCATATTTAAATTATGTGTGTGTGTATAAATGTATTAAACCTTGTTTGTCCTGCAGTGAAACACTCCCTGAAGTTTATCTTCACTGCATCTTCTGGAGTCCCAGACTTCCCAGAGTTTGTGGCTGCTGGAGTGGTTGATGATATTCTGTCGGGTTACTGCGACAGCAACAAAAAGATAGTAGAACCAAAACAGGACTGGGTGAACAGATTATTTGAAGATGATCCTCAGCACTTCGAGTTGTACACTACAGAGTGTTCAGAGAAGCCACTCTTCTTCAAAGCCAGAATTAATAATTTGAAGCAGCGCTTCAACCAAAGTGGAGGTACAGTATGTAGCCCACTATGTTATATTTCACTGTTTACTGTTAAACTGTTCTGCATCTTAGTTGTAAAGTAAATAGACCGCCATCACATTGCTTTGAAAACCTGGAACCACTAGCTGCCAGTCAGCATGTAATCCATAACTCAGGTCCTGGTTTGACTTGTTTGCTCTGTCCAACACAAACTACTCATCATACTGAGAAATTCAAAACATCCATCTATAGTCAAAATATCCTCACGATTACAAACACACACAGAAAAAGTACAGCCTTCACTTTCTTCATTGATTTCTTCAAATAATTTGACTGAAGGGGCTTAACATCCATCTGTACAGGTTTCAGTCCAAGAATCACACCTTCACACTCGAGTTTTGTGTTGTAATAATAACATACTAACTACGTACGATTCTGATATTGTATCTGGAACATTTGGAACTAACTTTATCCACCTCTCTAGACTAATGAAAGTAGCCAGTCCGGTGTTTCTCATCAAGCACTAAAGTTTTGCAGTCAGTAGAAAGCAACCGTCATACCTGGCTCTAAAAGGCCTTTTACTACTAGATGACACAACAAGGGTTGCAATAAGCCCGGAGCTTTCAGGCTCCCTGAAGTTTGGCAGCTTCCCACCTTTCCCAGTTAGTAATAGAAGTTACACAATAACTATGTTTCAATGAGTTCCTGGTCAGTCTTGTGTGGTCACTCAACTGCATCCAATGCTGCAGGTGTTTTAGCAGGTGACATTTTATTTTAATTGTATGCCTTCATTAGAAAGCAGCAGTTAAGGGAATAAGGAAAATGAGGGGGAGACAGACACAACAAAAGTCTTCAGCTGGCCCGACCAGGGATGTTGTAGTTCATGGTCGACAAAAGAAAAGAATGTGTAACAGAAATTGGGTTTCATCACTCATATAAAGAAAAAGTACACTTATCTGCTCTTGAATCATGAACACACCACGAGATGAAGATGAAAATAGAAGTGCAACACACACTGCCCAATATCTGTGAGATCATCTTCATCTGTACATCGTTGTTAATTACAGTCTCTGTCTCTGTCTCTCTCTCAGGTGTCCATGTTTTACAGAGGATGAGTGGATGTGAGTGGGATGATGAGACTGGAGAGGTTAATGGCTTTAATAAGTATGGTTATGATGGAGAAGACTTCATATCTTTTGACCTGAAGACATTGACATGGATCAATCTGAAACCTCAGGCTGTCACCACCAAACTGAGATGGGATACTGACAAAGCTAGAATAAAATACAATGAGAATTACCTCACTGAGATTTTCCCTGAGTGGTTGAAGAAGTATGTGGCCTATGGAAACAGCTCTCTGCAGAGAAAAGGTAGAATCACATGACCTGATTTAGTTTCATGAACTCAACAATGTTCCTATAATCTGCTCAGACTGAACTGCCATTGTATGATCACATCAATCAGTGTGACATTACCTTATGACAGTTTTCTGTGCAGTAAGATTTGATTTAGTCCTAACCAGTCAGTAGAGACATTTTTGGGTGCTCTGAGGTTACTTTCAATCAAAGCTGATACTGTGACAGTCAGTGTTTTAGTATGACTTAAATCAGTTTACAGAGTTTCAGTGTTTCAAAATAGAAATAGTTCCACTGAATATTGACACTGTGTTTGAGTACTTTGCTGCCACATTCTCTCTCTCTCTCTCCAGACCTTCCCTCAGTGTCTCTCCTCCAGAAGACTCCCTCCTCTCCAGTCAGCTGCCACGCTACAGGTTTCTACCCTGACAGAGCCTTGATGTTCTGGAGGAAAGATGGAGAGCAGCTTCATAAGGACGTGGACCACGGAGAGATCCTCCCAAACCACGATGGATCCTTCCAGATGAGTGTTGACCTGAACCTTTCATCAGTCACACCTGAAGACTGGAGGAGGTACGACTGTGTGTTTCAGCTCTCTGGTGTGAAGAACGACATCGTCACCAAACTGGACAAAGCAGAGATCAGGACCAACTGGGGTAAGACTGGAAATAGTTTTGTCTGTCCACTAAAGCTAGACCTCCATCATAACTACAAAGGTTATGTTCTAAAACTTGTGTTGTCAACTCCACTGTTATGTAGCTGTTGTCAACTGTAGAAGGGTTGATCGGATGTTTACTCTTTACTCTAATTTTACATCTTAATCCTCAGATTGGGCATTAATCTGGTTTACAACTTGAGTCATATTTTCATAGTTTTGGCCGTCATTTTTATCAGTTATGAAAACGTTATACTCATCAAAGTCCTCAATAATATCTGGAGACACAATGACATCAGTACAACACACAAGCATGTAAGTGGGAAACAAGATTCTAAGGTCTGAGCTCTCAAACACATGTAAGTGTCAAAGGAATCCAGAACTATACTTTTCATGTGACTGAAATACATTCTGTTTCTCACTTTACTGTCTTATTCACACAATCTGCTCCTCATACTTCAATACTAAAATGAATCCTGTAAACTAAACATATTTATCTCCTTCCAGTGGGAGAGACAAAGTGTGAATGTTCTGTTTTGGCTCCAGTTTCTCCCTCAGAGTTTCCTGCTGGTGCTGTTATTGGAGTTGTTGTAGGACTGCTGCTGCTGGCACTCTGCATCACTGGACTCTTCATCTGGAGAAGGAACAATAATGGTGAGTGAAGCCATTTTTACTCCACTGGATTGAACATGTTATGTACTTTACTATACTGTATATACTACGTGAAAGAGTTGCTCTCCTACATTTTTATTCAGAGCAGAGATCTGTGATATTCATGAGGAATTTCTTCCTATAAATGTGTTTTATTTTGTGTCCTGTCATACATTCTGATTTAACTTTGTTAATCTCTCATCTGTATTTCAGGATTCAGAGCTGCAAACAGTAAGTTTTTTTTTATGAAAAACAAAATATATTTGTTTTATTATTTTATTATGAAGACTTTAATGTGACTGTCATTATTTACTCCTGAGTATTAATAATCAATCATTCATCTTCATACATTCCTGTCTCTCATTTATAATTATATAATTTAAATTTATTTCACTTTTTGCTTCTAGCTTCAGATTCCTCATTGCCATTGGACAAAACTCCAGCTCCTGACTGATCACAGTGAGTATGTCATTGTTTCAACAAGGCTGTGCACATATTATGTTCACTGACATAATGTACAATATTCTTCCCACCTGAATTACATGCAGCTGATGTTTCTAATTCACAAAAACATTCTGCATGAGAAAGAATTTTCTCAGTCCATCCATTATAACTACAGGAAGCAGATGGCTCTGGGGTTTTATGATACTACTCCAGAAATCAAAAGTGGAAAAAGTTTTCAGATCCTTTTCTTAAGTACATGTACCAACACAACAATGTAAGAATACTCTGTTACAAGTCAAAGTCCTGCATTCAAAATCCTACTGTATTAAAAGTATTTGTTATGATGAAAAATGATACAATATTACAGGTGGAGCTAGTTTTTACTGCTTTATGTACAGTTTATATATAGAAGTATAAAGTAGCATAAAATAAAAATAAAATGAAGTTCCACCACTGTCAGAAACAGATAATCACTTAGTATAAACTTAGCATGAACTTTGATTTCTCTTTTCATTTATTAATCTGTTTTTACAGGTTCCCACTGAAGATAAAAGAGAACTCCAATGACGTTACCGTGGCATCCAAACCATTTCTTTTCCAGAGAGCACTTTATTCTCATTTGTAGAAGACTTTTTTATATTATAGTATAGTTTATATTATTAGGTACTAGAACTCATCTTTCTTTGGTAATTAGGAAGAAGTCCAGTCATGGGAGACACAGTCATATCCAACCCTTTATTTCTCACATCATGGACTGTATGATGTTTCTTTCAATGCTTCTTATAAAACACTGCACTACTAATGACTGAACTGAACCCCTGTTGTCTTCCAGTTGTGTCACAAAATCTCAGTGTATAAAGATCACTGAATGGCTTAGTCCCAACATATATCACTGACTTGCTTGTACAGTATGTAACACGTAGGCCTACACATGCATGCACACAGTTGATTGATCACAATATTTGTTTCATGGGATTTTACAAAACCTCCATGAGGTTTAGACAGTGCACTCAAGTGAGCGACTCATTGTGATGTACAGTATAATGCTAAAAGACAGCAGCGCTCACAGGTGTGTTGAAATACTATGTTTAGTAAAATGATGTTAATTTAGGATCTTGATACAGTGTTTGTTTTTGGGTAACTCCTTAAATACTTTTTAACAGACTGCTTCTGTCCCTGATGATGGTGCTGACAAAAATAGTCATTTTAAATGTTGTATTGACGTCAATGACAAGAATTTAATCTCTGAATGTGATGGAAACATTTCTTGATCTGAGTTTACGAGGAACAAATGGCTTACTCCAACCGTTTTATTGTTGTAAGTATCAATTTTCTGTTAACTGATAATAAAAATCATTATTTGGATTTAAGTAAACTGTCTTTGGTTCTTTCTCCCCTGGTCATTTTTATAAATGTGTTACTCCCCACAACCCCTGAACATCTCTGGGACCCCTGAACCCGACCTCAGGAAACAGTATTAAGCGCCTCCTAGAATTAGAAATTTCTCACGATCCTTTAATGATATATGGGAATGAGATGTTCATTTGCAACAGTTTCATCTTACAGTCTACTGTATAAGGACATCAAATGTGAATAAATAGAAGTACGTCAATCAGGTTTAACTTTTTACAAGGAAATCAGTGATCTGAACTGATGGAGATTTAAAAAAATAGTACAATAAACAGCTTTTGTTAGTCTGTACCTTGACTATGGCCACTGCTCATCTTTGTCTGTGCAGCTGACAAACCTGACTTAACAACTAGGATGATGTGGTCTAACCTCGGCCCCCGTAAGAACTCTACTGCATTTTGAATAAGCTGAAGCTTTCTGATGGTCTGAAGTCCCTGAGTTTGTCTGTATTTGTAAGATGATAAAAAGCTGGTCTTGTCTTTATGTGGCTATTTAGACTAACATCAGAGTCAACTGTAAAGCCAAACGGGGTGCCACAGGTCATATGTATATATAGGTATTTGAGAAATGTATGTTATGAAGGACAGCACTCCCATCTAACTCTTTAACATTGCCACACAGATGCTTTGGGCAATATGTCCTTCTTCAGCGTGCATTCAGGCAATTTCACAATGACTATACGCAGGTGGGATTAATTCTAAGTTTTAACAACTGGCACAACAAGTACATCCCAACAGGGGAAAGTTTATGTTAAAAATATAAAATGTGTACTGAGGAATACATCCAGTAATGCAACGTATTATTACATTGCATCATAAAAAAGTGCAGCTCCTGCATTTTGTAATAACAACTGCAATATATAATCATTATTATAAAATGTGGGGGAAATTATTACATATTGTGTTCAAGCTGTTTAAATGTGCGTGTTATTACATAATGGAGAAAAACTGATTGCATTTTATTGAGCAAATACGTAATGCAGCATCATTACATTATGGATTGTTGGGTCAGGTCTGTTGAAATAAGACTTGTGTAGGAAAGGGCCATGGATCTTAAAGGCTCTTCCTGTATCAGAGCTTCATTTTCCTCATTACAATCAAACAAATACTAGTAGGTCCAATATGTCAACATGTGTTAAGATACACAATACAGGTGGTCACTGATTGAACTTGAAGGTGTTGCAACCCCTGTGAAGCTTTGGTGACCCCTAGTGGGGGCCGGGAACCCTAGGTTGGGAGTGTTAAAGGAGAAAAAATCTAGTTCTTATACACACATATTGTATTCATTTCAAGACACAAGTCAAATATAAAGTACCATAAGATAGTCAAATTTCACTGCTGCCAGAAACAGATGAATGACTTTACTTAAATTAAAATGAATAATGTCCAATATGAACTCTAATAAGTTTCTAATATTTTTTTAACTTTTCATTGTTTAATTTGATTTGACAGATTAAAAGAGTGAAGATTAAAAGAGGACTCCAGTGATGTTACTGCGGCATCAAAACCTTTTATTTTCTACAGAGTACTTGTTTCTAATTTGTAAAAGTCTTTTTTTAAGTGTCAGTCAGAGCTGACAGAAGCATTAATGTAGAGAGAGACACAGTCATGTTCAGCCCTTTAGTTATCACATGATGGATTTCTGTTTGATGTTTCCACTTTGGAAACACACTAATGAATCCTCTGTCTGCATTAAACTCCATTGTAAACTACTGTCTTTCAACTGTGTCACAAAATCAAATCTATCAATCTGAATGTCTTAGCCCCAACATATACCACTGAGCTGCTTGTGCAATATCAAACTGTGGGGCCTCTGAGATCTTCTGGAACTGCTTTTTAACACTCTGAATGTGTATATATCACAGATCATTTTATGGTTATTTGTTTCATGTTTACTGTTTTTTATTATCTGTTCTTGCATGAAGTACTGCACCTTACATTTTGTGCGTTATGGGTTATGGTTAGGGTAAGTCTGTTTTCTCTGTGTGTGTGTGTGTGTGTGTGTGTGTGTGTGTGTGTGTGTGTGTGTTTTAAATCCCTCCTGTTAATCCAGATGTTATTTATTCTACTTTTGATGAACTAATAAAACTCCTTTGGTAATCTTATTGATGTTTCTTTTATTTATTCATTAAAGAGAGTGTGTTGAGTTGCACAGATTATAAATATAATATATAAATATATCTATATGAATATCAAATTTGACTTGACTTGTAAGTGCTGTAAGTGTGTGAGTGAGTTCAAATATCAGGAAAACCATAATGAGGGTGTGCCTTGTAAGGATTTCAGGGTTTGTCTCCAAATCTGCAGCTCCAGTGGGGTGTTCCCGGTCTGCAGTGGTCAGTAACTACAGATAGCGCTCCAAGGAAGGAAAAGCAGAGAGAAAAGGTGAAAATGAATAAAGCTGAGCTGAGTTTATTTTGTTTTATATGATTATTCTCTCTGTCTCTTTAGCTTTGTCATATGGTCAGTTTTCATTTGTTACTCCTTCTAAATATAAAATTGTTTAAAACTTTGAATGAATATTTTGCTTGTCCTTTTATCTGTGATAAAAAAAAAAGGTTGGCTGAAATCTAATCCAAGTATGTTATACTTTGTGTATAACATATATTTTAATATTAAAATGATTCATCATCCCTCCTCCCTACCTCAATAACTCTCGTACAGCCCCTACCAACAGAAAGACTCCCACATCCGTCCGCAAGGAGGAAGCCGCAGCTCGGTCCTTTACCCACCCGACTTTATCAAATCAAGATGAAAACGTTATTTTTGTTGCTTCTCTTCTGTCACGTTTCATCAGCAGGTAAGATCAAATTTGAACTCTTTAAGCTCTTTGCTTCACTTTCCACTCGGCTCTGCATTTGACTGCGATAACGTGAGCCACAGAGTGCATTTGGCTCCTGTAGCTCCAGTAAACAACAGCACTTTAGTTTCACTTTTACTTCATAAGACCGTTATACACCGATCAGCCGTTACAGGATGACCACTGACAGGTGAAGTAACACTGATTCTCTCGTTATCATGGCACCTGTCCAGCAGCGTAACATATTTGTGATTGGACCCGGTGCAAATGTTTTTCTTGTGGCCCCCGCCCCAAATAGCACGCTCGTGTACACACGGGCCTATCAACGCAAATCAGAGTTACATAACCACAGAGCAAATAGCGATCAAGAAAAGCACAGCAACGCTTCATAGGCCTACACAGTATGAATTAATGGATAATTAGATCTGAGCACACAATTAATGAAGAAACAATTCATTCATCATCAATGACACAGCAGCCTGTTATCACACACACAGATTACAGTCAGCATTTTCTGATATTTGAGAGGTAATTTAAATCCCTGACCCCACTCCATAACAGACACCGACTCATTTAAAGTCATCCTACGGACCTTTCACTCAGCAAAGTCATTAACAACACTGCTCAAGTCCAAATTCCTCGCTCTGCTATTCTCTATTAAGAGTAAAGCCAATCCACTGAGTCTTTCTTGTCCCATGCTGCTCGAGCTACTAGTCACTGCTGGACTCCGTATGTGAAGACGTGAAAGGGCCCACACACAGACACAATTGGTGCTGTCCCTCCTGGGCCCTTATAAACAGCTGAGCCCAGGCTGCACCATTGGTATTCACACCACTGCCCCAGTCAGCGGGTGGGATATATCAGGCAGCAAGTGAACATTTTGTCCTCAAGTCAACGTTGGATCGATCCAACAGACGAGCTACTGTAACTCAAACTGCTGAAACAATTAATGCTGGTTCTGATAGAAAGGGGTCAGAACACACAGTGTGTTGGAATAACATTATGACCACCAGGGTGTCCAGTTGGTCATATTATGGCTGATCAGTGTATATTTTAATTGAATCATAGGCTACTAACTTAATACATCAGATTCATGATGGGTCTTTACTGAATGTATAAACTGTGTTTGTCCTGCAGTGAAACACTCTCTGAAGTATTTTCTAACTGGATCCAGTGGAGTCCCAAACTTATCAGAGTTTGTAGGATCTCTAGAGGTTGATGGAAGTCTGGTCGGTTACTGCGACGGCAACAAAAAGATAATAAAACCAAAACAGGACTGGATGAAAAAAACTAATTGAAGATGATCCTCAGCACTTAGAGTGGGCCACTAAGCAGTGTTTTCAGAGAGGGCCAAACATATTCAAAGTCAGGATTCAGAATTTGAAGCAGCGCCTCAACCAAACTGAAGGTAAAGTATTTATATATATTATATTTTACTTTTACTACTAAAATGATTTGCAGCCTGGTTTGTTGTTTGACACACAGATATAGGATAGCTAACATGTGCATATTAATGAATTTGAGCTTGGACTGCATCTGAGACTGCAGGTGTCACACAGGTGTGACTTTGTTTTAATAAGAGTTTAATGTGCATATAATTCAACATACCCACTTTGTATACTGCCACTGACAGTCATCTGTCAATTCATACAACAGTAGTTACTATTGTAACTTTTAGCTGTGGAAAATAAATTGGGTTTCATCACTCAGATAAAGTGCACTGATTATCTGCTCTTGAATCATGATCACACCACAAGACACAAGTGTCACACAATGCACAATATTTATAAGATCATCTTTCCACTGGAGATTTCATCTGTATTCTGTACATTGTTAATTACAGTCTCTGTTTCTGTCTCTGTCTCTCTCTCAGGTGTCCACATTTTACAGGAGATGTATGGATGTGAGTGGGATGATGAGACTGGAGAGGTTAATGGTTTTAATCAGTTAGGTTATGATGGAGAAGACTTTATATCTCTTGACCTGAAGACATTGACATGGATCGCTCTGAAACCTCAGGCTGTCCCCATCAAACTGATGTGGGACACTGACAAAGCTAGAATAAAAGTCAAGGAAATTGACCTCACTAAGATTTTCCCTGAGTTACTGAAGAAGTATGTGGCCTATGGAAACAGCTCTCTGCAGAGAAAAGGTAGAATTACATGA